GTGCTTGGAGCTTCACAGGAGACTTGCAGCTCTTTGTGGGAGAGTGAGCAGCAGTCCATCTTCTGAGGAAGATAGGAAGTAGGAACTATGTTACCCCAGTAGTATAATGGTTACAGCAAAGTGGAGCAGGGGGGCTCTGGGTCCTCCTCAGCTTAGAGAAATTTTCCTTTCTGAAGAAAGAAATTTCTCCTTTCTGAAGCTCTGGAAAGGTCTAGCATGGGGTCACTGAACTCTTGTTGGAATCGGGCTGCTGTTCAGCAGAGTGCAGGACTCTTGAGGATACAGACCAAGTGGAGAGGTACACAGCCTCCTTTCTTGCAGAGGAATGTGTCTGAGAATGGGAAGTTTTGGTTCTTGTCCATGTGCTGGGAACAGCTTCACAACACTTGCCTGACAAGCCATTGAATAGAATGCCTCCACAGCACTGGAAACAAGACTGAGGACTCCTTTCCCAAGGGGATATTTAAACTTTTCATTGGAAAAGATTTAAACTTTTCATTGGACATATTTTGTCAGCAATGATTTTATTACTCAGTGGCTATTAATCATGTGCCTCACTGTGGCATTCATATTTCAAGTCATTAGCCTTTTATTTTCTGGCAAAAATGTAGTAGATCTGTAAGAGTGACTGTTCCCTGCTGTTGAGAAAGCCATGGCATCATAAAACTTGAGCAGCTTTGCACTAAGGTAATCAATTTCCTAAATGACATCTATATTTGAAATGCTGTGTGCACGTATAATGCCTCACAACAGAACCCAAAATACTGGTAGCATTTGCTGAGTTTCTTGTATGAAACTTCTTTTATGCTGCAAACCCTTCTTCTACGTGAAGGTCTGTTCCCTCTGACTTAGCAGTGCTTATCAAACCGACACGGTGTGTTGCCACATAACATTTTGATGTCAGGTTTGCATCTTCTTTTTTTTTTTTTTTTTAATTACCTTATCTGTTCGATAAGAAAGATAGTGTTTGACACTGACTTTATATCCAGTGAATGTCTCCTATAAGCTTTTTTGCTGCAGTAAGCAAAGCCCTGGGAAACGTGAGCCAAGGTATTTTGAAGTTCTTAGTGTCTTACTGTCTACAAAGGCAACAGCCATCTGAGGTGCACTGCTCATTTTGATCTATAGAATTAATCTATACAGGACACTGCACTATCTAGAAGGACTGTATGGAATTCAGAGGGAGTATAAATGCAGATTAAATAAGGGGCAAAACGTTGAGAAGTCTGCAGAAGAAACATGGAAAGAATGAAACTTTTGCAGAGCTAGGAATGTGAGGTTCCTAAGAAGCTTTTGGGGTCCTTGTAAGTTATTATCCAGGCACAGCTGAGAATAGCAGTCTACACACTTGCTAACTTTCCCTAATTCTTAAATACCTGACTGAGTTTAGTAGTGACTTTACGTACAACCACTCTGCAAATGGTTTCCCCAAAATCTTGCTTGATGGAAAAAAAGAAAAGCTCTTGCACACCATTGCTTGAACTTGTGCAACTGTACGATGCACTAGATTTGAACTTTGTAGCAAAGATGGTGTTCTCCCCAAAGTACTCGCTGTGCATAATGAAACTTCTTCAAAGCAGGGAATGTAATTGCTCAGTGTTGACTGCACACCTACAGCACTATATGCATAAATGCTGGCATTAATAGAGAACATCTTAGGAGGAAAGGAGCTAAAACCCCAAGATTTTTAGTGCAGCCTGCAGGCAGGGTAACTGGGGTCCCAGATAATCAACAAAATCATTTCATACCCCCACCATGAATGTTTGCTGTTCTAACATATTAAAATCTTCTGCTCTACCACTGGAAAATTCAGTAGGGGTTTTTTGAGGGTAAAGAAATTATCAAGCCCATCTTCGAGATTAGGGCTAGACTGATGTGCTGTATAATCTTGAGTAAATCAGAAGTAGCCAGGAATAGAAAGAATGCTTCATTATTTTACAACCCAGAGAAATCAGTACATGTGAAATTAGATTGCCTTAAACATGCAGGTCTGTTCAAGCCACTGCTGAAATTCCTTCGTGATGGGGGAGGGTGAACTCAGCGAGATCAACCTTCCCTCGCGACTTTCTCCGAAACTGTTTCAGTATCGGAGGCAGAGCGTCCATGGTTTCAGGGAATGGAGCAGGCCTTGCAGCAGATTTTCCTTCTTCCAGTTTTCTCAGTGCAAGATGCAACCCTGTTCTCCCTCCTTTGAGTGAATGTTCAGGTGCAATTAATTTCTATGGTACCTGAGCAGTGACCCTGTATTTGGGATTTTACCATGATCCTCTTCTATTGTCTGGAGAAGGCGACATCCAGGACATGAAGTTAGCTCTTCCTTGGTTAGAATGAGGCTTGGGAAGATGCTGGCAAGTATGTGGAAGACAAACATCCCCCACACAGGCAAAATGGTGAATAACATCTCCACTCTGCAGTATTTCTGCAGGGTCTGACAAACGGCAACATTCCCTATTCCTTGTTTACCACTTAAAGATGAATAGCTCTAGTAAGTTGTCTAGCTGTATTTATTTATTTTGGCAAAGAGTTTTTCCAAATAATAAATTAATTTGATAAATGAACTGAAAAGGTCCAGATTTATTTTGCCACGGGATCACTTGCACCATATGCAGCTAGGGGTGTGGGTCCCAAAATTTCAGAAGTATCATGGAAGTTGAGGCAATGCACAGAAACATGAATAGCGCACACAGAAGTTGCTTAAATCTAATATATTCTTGTGCAGTCAACCATTCTCTTTTTTTCTTTTTTCTAGCTTTCTAGCAAATATTGGAATGAAATTGCTTGCTGTCTCCTTTATGAGAATAATTGGTCCGTTTTTTAGTCCCATTGCAGTACTTCTGCAGAAAACTGGTTATTTTTCTTCTGTTCCTGTTCTCATGAAACATTTTATTGAGAAAATAAATTGTTAAGAACGGTAAAATTAGACATAACATCGGAAAACATTTTTGTGAGACCAGAATTTTATTGTTTGATTAAGAAACAGTAACAGTTGTTCCAAACTCATCTGTGCTTAAGCTCTTGCTATCACGAAACCTTCTACCAGGCAGAATCTAGCCAGACTTGTAAAACGACCAAAGAGCTGACACAGTCGACAGTTGAGCAGACACTGTTTCCAAAACTTATGACTTGGCTTAAAGACTGGAAGATGGCCACGGATATGGTTTTGGGTTTTTTTTTTGTTTGTTTTTTTGGCAACAAGACACGAAAGTTATCAGCAGTTCTGCTGTTGAGACCTTAAATGGCATCAGGCCTAGTCAGCCAAAAAAGAGTTAGAAATTCCTTGTGGTTTTGACCCAGTTCTTGGTTTGACGGCAGATGATTGAGAGTTTGCAGTGGGGTAGTTTATGACAGCCCGTGCAACTGAGGTTGTAATGTGGCTACAGGGTGAAGCCTGTCCTTGACATCATTAGCTAAACCTTTCTGTACTCTACAAAGATAGGAAGATAAAGATTTGTCCCACATGTGGACGGCTGCTTTCCAAAGGCCATGCAAAGTGAATTTGCCAAAACTGTTTGCAGAATTCAATGATTCTTCATCATCCTGTGGTTCAAACAGCTCTTCTGATCTCCAGTCCAAAAGCTGACACTCAATATTTCCCTTTGTTTTGTAACAGGATCTTTATACAGCTTCAGAATAAACCCAGATGAAACATTAGTACATGGCAAAAACCAGATGGGAATTCCAGAGTTAATGTCACCTCATTCTTAAAGAATATTGTATAGAACATGCCAGCAACAAAGGCTTGGATTCAGTCTAGATATTGAAGTTCACTCTGCTAAAACAACAAATTGCTGGAAGTTCAAAGGAGGAAAGTGATTTTGACAGCAGAACACAGCAGAAGAGCCAAGGACAGCAGAGCCTGACCGATGCAAAGGCATGGATGGACTTGAGGAGGAGTTAAGGTCATGTAGGTAAGAAGGATCACCTGTGGCTAAGCCATTTCGGGAGGATGTTTGTCTGGTCTGCAGCTGTTCTTTGAACACTAAGGACATGTAGAAATAGACTGTGAGAATAAGTAAGTTATTTATATAATTTGCTGCTTGCACAGGGGTGCTGGGAAGACTGGTAGAGGAAATGCAGGGAAAGGATAGGTGCCCACGCCTGTCAGAGAGCTTACGACTGAATACTGCTCACTGATGGTAGGCTATGTCCTTAGAAAAGGTCTGAGAATTAAGAGGCCATAATGCAATACCTGGGAGCTGCAGGAAGTCCAAAGAGGAGCACTCCCTGCTGGCGTGGCCTTCCTCAAGAGAAGCTGGAAGCGTTTCCCCTGGGCCTGGTGAACTGCTGTGATAAAGCTTACCTTGCAGTTGGCCAACGTGCTCCTCTGACCCACACCCTGTGCTGCTGCAGCTTGCTGGCTGCTCTTTCACTGAATTTCACTGAATTTTTGGAGTTGGAAGGGACCATAGAGATCATCTAGTCCAACTCCCCTGCTAAAGCAGGACCACCCAGAGCTTGTCAGAGCATGTTACTCAGGACTGCATCCAGGCGGGTCTTGAAAATCTCCAAAGAAGGGGACTCCACAACCTCCCTGGGCAGCCTGTTCCAGGGCTCTGTCACCCTCACCTCTTCACCTCAAGTAAATCAGATTATTTCTAATAACTGCAGTCATGCATTTACAGTGCACAGGAGAGCTACTGCTGAACTGGCTGCTGGTCGGAAAGGGGCTAGATGGCTTAATTTTTTTCTTTTAAAATGGGTGTCCCACATTTATCAGGTATGGAGTGCTGTTACCAGTGGATTCCACATCCAGCAAGAGTTCATCTCCTCCTAGAGACAGGCAGACGTTGTGGACACTGCTTTAGCAAAAAAAGATCTACTCTTTGCACTAACAGGCACATATTAAGGCTGTGTGTGTCTTACGTGTGTATTATTAAGAATGTGGCAGATAGACAGACAACTTGCAGACTGATTCACTATTACTTGCAAAAGGCTACAGCTGCTTGGAAGACTGCACCCAGCAAGCAGGGCTGGAAAAGTTTATTGGTTTGTTTTGTTTGTTTTTTTTTTTACACCAGGGAAATATCTAATTATGCATTTAGGGCAGTTGAACAGATCGATGAACAGTATGAAGAAAAATGGATTAAAAAATATCCAGGAAAATGGGGCTAGTTAGCTCGCTCTTTTCTGATGGATCTATTAAATGAAATCATATTTGAGCACACCCCTCAGCTATGATCTCACAACTATTACTTAAGCTAGGTCATATAAAAACACCATCTCTTTTTCCAGTAAGAAACAAAGGTTTGTCTGTAGCTTCTCCCCTGAGCCTCGATGACCCCTTGGGCTAGTGTGCTCAAGGCTCCCTCATGTGCCGTTGGCTAACACAATAGGCACGACGTAGTAGCATCCAATTCTTAACCTCTGGATCCCTACCCCGAAGAGGTAGATAACTTACGGTTCAGCTGCCAGGGTGCAGCCTTCAGCAATGCTGGAACGCTTCTTTAATTCATGCCCCTTGAGCTCCAACAGACATGCCACTGCATCCCTAAGAAACATACACGGATCATAAATAAGGTTAGATGTTATTTTAAGTAATAAACACTGAGATACAGAAACTTCATTGCAGCCTTCTGTCTTTGCCTGTCTCTCCATTTCGACTATTTTTAGTTTGCAGTCAGCATTATGACTGTGAACTCAAGGAACACTTGGACAATAGGTACATAAATAATTATGGATAGGTCTCCAGAGCCTTAAATGTTCACAGAGGATTCAAGTTAAGTACTGGCTGGGATTATTCAATGGCTTGGAGATATCGTGGTGCTTATACATATTAATACAATTTTATTTCCCGTGATGAAAACCTAACTTGGGCTTCTCTGGACTGGTGGTGGTGGAAGGGTCTGCACAGAGGCTTTGAGTTGTAAATCGATGTATTACTGAACATAACTCTGCAGAATGAACTGGGGCTTTCTTCTATCGTTGGCTGCTTACACTTCACAGTAGTGATCTCTGAGTATTTGTATAGATTATAACTGGTTAAAGCTGTGTTATTAGTCATTTAAGAGTTACCCTGCTTTGTGACAGTGCTGCAGTGTCACTGAACCCAATTAGGGATATTGAGTTAACTACTAGAGTTGTGACAGAAAACGTACTTTCCATTTCCTACCTTAGAACTAACTGTCCTAGCCTCCAGGTGGCAAGTCATTCTTCAAGCTTGTGGTGAGTTCACAGCTGTCAAAAGGGGAAGTCTGCCTTTTGCTGCTGCACCCTGCGCCTGCTGGGCCACTCACTGAGTCATCTGAAATCACTGAAATGGCAGAAAGCTATCTCAGAAGGAAAGAAAGGGAAAAAAAAACAAAAACCCAAACAAGTGGAAGATGGCATCCTGCCCATTCCAGTGAGATGAACTGGCCTGAGGGAGCCTCCCAGCAGCCCCAGAACAGACGTAGAGGGAGCAGGAATGTTCCTCCTTATGGCTTTGCGCAATTAAACCAGCACAGCTGATTCTGAAATGGTACCTGGGAGAATCTTCCACTGACTCTGGGATGGCTGTGCAACAGGTGAGATATGCTGGGACCGAGGGCACACAGAGGAGAGCAGTGCTCTCAAAAAATCAATCACCTGATACCTTAGGTAAGCAGAGTAAATACATAGTACACAGACAGGAAATATCCCCAGAAGAAGGGCTGGAACTCAGTTCCTCCTCAGCCGCAGGTTAAGTGCCATGATAAATGAGGGGGAGTTTTGTTTCCCTGTTGGGCTTTATGCACATGAGTGCACAGTGGAACATCTTAAGCAGAAAGGGGTTAGAGAACACCCCGTGGGACATACGGGTTTGATCTCCCTCCAGTGTGGGAATCTGCTCTTGGTCTCCCATTTCTTAGATACAGATTTGAGTTATAGAATCATAGAATCATAGAATGGTTTGGGTTGGAAGGGACCTCAAAGATCATCGGGTTCCAACCCCCCTGCCATGGGCAGGGACACCTCCCACTGGAGCAGGTTGCTCAAAGCCCCATCCAGCCTGGCCTTGAACACTTCCAGGGATGGGGCATCCACAACTTCCCTGGGCAACCTGTTCCAGTGTCTCACCACCCTCATAGTAAAAAATTTCTTCCTGAGATCTAATCTGAATCTTTTTTCTTCCAATTTAAAACCGTTTCCCCTTGTCCTATCATTACCCTTCCTGGCAAAGAGTCCCTCCCCAGCTCTTCTATAGGCACCCTTCAGGCATTGAAAGGCCGCTATAAGGTCTCCCCGGAGCCTCCTCTTCTCCAGGCTGAACAATCCCAGCTCCCAGTTGGTAGACCACAACGCAGGCTCCTGCTCTCCGAAGTGAAAAGCTTAGACCAATTTTCTGAAAGGCACCTACTCCTCCCTGCCCTAAGAAAAGGGTTCTGGGCTGTGCAATGAGCAGAGAGAGACCTCCCCCCCAGGTTCAGATCAACCCTGAACAGGCTGACGTTAGACAACTCCGATCGAAGCCAGCAGGTTGGCCCGGGACGTGTAGTATTTCACACAGGTAAAAGGTGCCTTGTTCAGGATTCTGGGTTCCAATAACCTGAAACGTCAGCACCCGGGGAACCTGATGCTTAACTTCTGAAGTCACTTCTTGGGTCTGGTCCAAAACCTCTGTCACCTGATGTGATCTTCGTGGGAAAATCAAGATACACGATTCCAAACTTCCCATTGGCTCAGATAGCTACAGATAGTAGGAGTAATGGCTGGTAATGGTAATAATAGGTAATAAGTTAAACTTGGAAATAAACTAAACTGGGTAACTAGTAAGTATCTACAAAAGTATGGATTTAACAAGAACAGCTAACTCTTAAGGCAAAAGCTTGGGGAAGATCAGGACGTGAATGATTGTCAGGATACACATTTGATATGAAGACAGGGCATCTCTGATCTGACAGCTACAGATTTCTATCAGATGTGTTCTTCACTTCTAAAGGATCTGATTTCTGGCAATTCTAAATGAGTTATGTTTCCCATCACTGCCACTGACATTTCTATAGAATTCTTCGGTTAGTGTAAAATGTTTTGGTGTCAGACTGCTGCTTCTGTAATTAATACTGTAATTTGGGGACTCTGCCATGTGGTCACCTTTATTTAAATAATTCATAGCCATTGCGTAGCTGCTTTTCAAAACATCTGATAATGCTTCACATTTGCTTAATAGTTTTCAGTGCCTTCTTGTCATTGTGCTTCCTTTTCTCTGTGTTCAGTAAATATTTGGATTAAGTTAACGTTGACCCACGTATTGATACAGGGCTCAAGACACAAGTGGACTTAAGACCTCTGGCCCAAAACTGAAATTTGTCAGTGTTCAAAATTTTTGCTGTGCTATGGCCTGACCTGAAGGCATGTAGAAGTCAAGGACTTAAAAATCTTTTGACATTTCTCAGGTGTACTGTATTTCTCTAGGGACAGGCTCTCATGCATTTTAGTTTTGACAGTGAAAAGCTACTTTTTGATACTCTTTTATTTGTTCCTTGTTGGTACCTACATAGCAAGCACACCTCTGCTTCAAGAGTACGATGGCCTCAAGTTGTGCCAGGGGAGGTTCAGATTGGATATTAGGAAAAAATTTTACACTGAAAGGGTTATTAAGCATTGGAATGGGCTGCCCAGGGACGTGGTTGAGGCACCAACCCTGCAGGTATTCAAAACATGGGTTGATATAGTGCTTAGAGACATGGTTTAGTGATGATGTTTTTTTATCAGAGTTAGGTTGATGGTTGGACTAGATGATCTTAAAGGTCCCTTCCAACCTAGACTATTCTATGATGTTTACAGGTATGTATCCAACACACACTTAGAGGAACGCTGATAACTGACTGCAAACACAAACCTTAAACCAAGCATGAGTCTAACCTTCTGTTAGAGTATGTGCCTGGTGGAGTCCTGGTCTCCTGTGACAGCCTGTGTGTCCTGTAGTTTATAATCTGCAAATATGAGAAGTTGAGTTCGCTCCCCAGAAGACTTCTGATCGCTGTATGAGCAACAAAAGGCAAAGCTGACCATCCTTCTCAGCTAAAATAAGTTTCCTTTGCTGCCTCTGCTTCAGAGAAAGCTTGAAGCAGGTAACTGTTCTAGACCTGAGATCATTCCACACAAACAGTTCTCAGAAAAGTAACCGACAATGCTTCAACCCCAGAACACACTACGGCAGACTTGGAACTCAATTTTTTTAACTCTGATCTGCTGAAAGATAGGGATATCTGCATCACTGAACTGTCCAAATATCCCTTTGAAGTGATGGGCAGAAGGGTTTGGGAATTCTTTCATCATTTCTTAAGACGTGGGCTTGGATGTGGGCTTAAACCAGAGGAACTGAATCTGTACCTCTAACACTCTCTTTGAATGTGTTGACCATTTGGGCAAGAGGAAAAAGAGCCATATGCCCATCTTATTTTAACTTTTTCTGATAAAGGAGAATATACTGTCTCTCTTTAATCCTTTGTCTCATTTATACCCTATCCAAACTCCCATTTTCTAAATTTAAGTCAAATCTATCAAGTTGCCTTTGCCATACAACTCACTGATTCCTGAATCAGTCCCATGCACTAAAAATACATTGTTTAGGAAAAGCAGATCTGACATAAGCACGTATCTCCTCTCATAACACATATACACAATGTAGGAATCTGAGTCAGAAAGGCTACTTTTGTTTCCTATATTCTTCATACCTTGCTTTCTAACTCTGAATAGTGAGCTTTCATTGAAACTTGGTTTGTATCATCTCCCACATCTTTGTGGAGGAGTCCATTGCCCCTTCATGTGGTTCAGAATTGGAGCCTGTAGACCTGCTGCAGATTTCAGTGACAAGGGCTGGAAGGATAACTGATACCGGTAGCCAGTTACTCTCTTTATAGACCAGCACACAAAGAAGATGAGATATGATCTGCCAAAGAATTTTGTAGAAGTTAAATGACAACTGAGAAACACTGAAAAAGGGATCCTGGGTTCCAGCCCAGACTCCTGACTTGTTTTAGACAATTTTTGTCCTAACCCTATTCTTGTGGAAGACTTGGCTTAGTAACCCACTTCAGCTTCCCCTTCCCTCATGACTAACATTTCCTTTTTTTCCATCCTTAACTGATCTGTGTCCTTCGCCATTCCCTTCTTCCAGTCTCTTTGCCAAGTCCATCTCTGTTGCAGCTCCGTTCCTCATACAATCTCAGGACTTCCCATCTTCCATTTCACTCTCTGGCTTTCTCTCTCAGCCCCAGATCGGTCTCCTTTTCTGCTTCTCCTCAGTCTCCTTCTGTCCCAGTCAGCTTTTATCCTCACTGCAATGGAACGTGTTGGGTAATGCCTGTGCAAGTAAACTGCATTGTGCCAGGTGTCCCACAGCTGCCTATCCCTGCTCTCAAAAGGTTTTTGGGCAGCCAGTGGAGGTCCAGGACTACCTCCACCAGACAGGTCAGATGTAGCCAGCCTGCTTTGAAAGGCACCTGACATGGGAGATGTAGGCACACGGGTGTGACGAGTGCCAAGTCTATCAACCTCAGAGCCAGAGAGCAGACTCCGGACTATGAAGGTGTGTAGTGACCTTTATCCATGGCTCAAATCCACTGAAGCCATAAGAGAATTCCCTGCCAGTAAGTTCCAGCATCCAATCCCACAAAGCTCGAAGATGGGAAATCCAGCCTGACTTCTGCATCTCTGAGGTGGAAGATACCGAGTATTTGGTTGGACTGACAAATGCACAGTTGCTAAAGGAGGCTGCTCAATAAGGAGAGAGTTACTGGCGAGTTTATCTGCAAAGATTTGAAAAAAACTTTGTATAAAATGCACAGATGAATTAAAAAAAAAATATCATAAATTTAGCACTCCCCTTCCAAGCTTTGGCATCTGATTCAAAAGTAGACTTTTTTTTTAGATAAGATGTCAACAGATGTTTAGTTATCACGCCGAAAATAATGCATAGAATCACAGAATTGCCTAGGTTGGAAGGGACCTTTCAGATCATCTAGTTCAACCATCCATCTAACCTTGACCAAACCCATCACTAAACCGTACCGCTAGCACCATGTGTACCCATCTTTTAAATACCTCTAGGGATGGTGACTCAGCCACTTCCCTGGGCAGCCCGTTCCAATGCTTAATAACCCTTTCAGTGTAAAATTTTTTCCTAATATCTGATCTGAACCTCCCCTGGCACAACTTGTGGCCATTCCCTCTTGTCCTCTCACCTGTTACTTGGGAGAAGAGACTGACTCCTATGTCCCAAGCCTCATCATTTGAAGAAGGTGAACTAATTTGGTTAAAATTTCAAATAAGCTCAGTTTTAAGGGAGGACACAAGGAATCTGCTTTTGAGAATTGGTTGGCAACTCTACTTAATTATAGGCAGGGCTGTCATTGTCCCGGTTTGATCAGAGAAATTCAGTTTACGAAAACTGAGAAGCTGGTGTTTTATTCTGACAATGGCAACAAGGAGCCACGTGATTGATTCTGCAGAAGTGACAGAGCTGGATGTGGACTAGGCAAGAGCGTAAAAGCCTGTGAAATCAAACTGGAGATACCTTTTGAGAATTTATTCCAACACTTCAATTTATTGAAAGCTGAGGTAACCCTAACAGGAGCAAAACTCAATTCAACATTGCAGAAGGAATAAGAAAAATCACCAGTGAAATCATAAGTGAAAGTACAACTGTACACCGTTCATTCTTTAAATCTGTTCAAATTTGTACATGTTCCGAAAGAAAGATTGGCTTCGTTTTTTGGCAACCCACAACTGTTTTGAAAGCACTATTGAAACCTGTGTACTGCAACTGAGCACGACATTCCTAAGAAAGACTCAAGCCCCCTCCCTCTCTCTCTGATCCCATCTGAAGCACGACAACGTCAAATTGGCATTGCTAATGCGCAGGCCCCCAGTGTACGGTGGGTCTCATTTCTGTATGATCTGAATTAGCTTCCCATGCCCTTTTCACTACAGATTTGGAGATGCCAAGGACTCCCAGCCT